TAGTTCTCATTCACAGAGGAGCCTGTTTCTCGAGCTCTGTAGCTCATGTTAACTGGGCTGTGAAAAGGTGGTATTGCTTAAGGGGTATCTCTTGCTGTTCTTGTCTTTCAGACTGGTGTTTGAAGCAGAAATTGCTGCAGAACCTATACTTACTTAAGTATAGAGAAACTTATTATTCACTTCCTTTTACAGTAAGTGCCATCCAGTTTGAGATCTTGCTTGCCTGGCTCCTACCTGTCTTTGGATGTTTGTAGCTACCGAGTCGTGTCTTCCGAGCTCTCACCGCTGGGTGATGTTGGGTTTGATGGCAGCACACCAGGCCGGCCTGGGAGAAGAGTGTGGAAAGGCCGCAAAGTCCTGCGGCTGATTGACCCCCTGGTGATCAGGAGTGTGCGATGCCAGGGCACGCAGATCTGTCCTGTAGGGTCAGCCTCTGTGCTGCTGACCCCTGTGAGCAGAAAACCTCTTTGCTTTCCAGTTTGAACCCCTTTCCAGCAGGACCTGGAAGAAGCAGGCGATCCCTCCGTTGTGGACTGTCTGCCTCCTTTACCTTCGTGTGCAAAACAAAGAAGCTGCAGTTTAGATATTGCAATGCCACATGCCAGTTCAGCTTTGATGCAAATACTTAGGCCAAGTGTAGGTCAAGTTAGTCTTTCTATGTATGTTTCTGGGCAGTAATTTCTCTTATTTTAATCTTAATGGTGGGGCCTCCAGTTCTTTAGGTTTTTGTCAACTCCTGTTCTTATGCCTCCTGTAAGGTAGAGCATGTGCTACTGGTTATTTTTAGCATGGAAAATTTTAAGAGCCCACGTGGTCCCATGTAGTTTTAACTGTGCCAGCCTCGTCCAGTTCTCTGTCACCCAGATAGTATTTATTTCCCGAGTGCTGTATCGCTAACGATAGGGTTTGTAGGGAGGCCTCCTGGCCTTGCTGTTGAAGCTACATTTCCAGTTGAGCTGCCTGCTTGTTTCCTCTGTGATCCTTCAGGACGGTCTTTAATTCCAGCCTTGATTTCCACTGCTTTTGGGGTCTGGAAGTGTAACCTCTCAAGCGCTGGGGCAGGAGGGAAGCGGAGGAGGCAGGGACCGGCAGCGCTGTAGGGTACGTCCCTGCGAAGCATGGGGGCTCAGTCACTTGGGATTTGTCCTTGTCTCTCTTCTGGTAGAGACTTGAAGCAGCTTGCCCCCAGAACAGACCTGCTTCTGCGTAGGAAGCCCTGAAGATCTGGAGCGAGTGCTTGCTGAACTTCCCTCTTGGACCTTGAGAATGAATTATCTGGCTCCTCTGTGAACCTCGTGCTGCAAGCATTTCTAACCTTATAAGGATGTGTACGCTGAAGGGTTGTTTGTCCTGGCTAGGGAGAAGCAAGGTGGCTTAAAACTGCTCCAGGACTCTAATGCAAACAAGTAGAATAAGTTGACTGTCCTTGGCTTTTTTTTTTTTTAAGGTAGGTGAGTGTGTGCGGTCATTCTTGTCCTCATCTCCCTGATCTTTACCAGGAGCTTTCCATAAATCAAGTCAGGATACAGATTTGGAGAGCCGCCTGACCCCTGCTCTCCCCTTGGTGTCTTAATCCCATCCTGACCTACTGTGGGTATTATTTAGCAAGTTGGAAAAGTCTCGTGTCCTAGCTGCAGCTCTCCGGCCATGCCTTGATACAAGGTGTGACATTTAGACCGGATTCCTGACGTGCCAGAAGGAACTGGAAGTGGCTGGTCGCGCGGGGCGAGCGCGTACGGTGTGTGAGCTCTGCGCTAGCTTAGCTCTGTTTTTGGCACGCGGCCGCATGCGGCCCTGCATGTTGGGAAACGGCACTGGGGCATCCAGCACTTCATACTGGTTCTGGCTTCTGCAAGCTGATCATCTCCGGTCCGAAGCCTCTGGAGCTGCTGCGCTTCCCCAGCTGGCTCCTCCTGCCTGGAGAGTGCAGGGGCTGTTGGGCCGGGCTCCCGCCAGTTTGGCAGTGTTTAAGGCCATGTGATTTGACAAGTTGCCATTTTCTGCTCTGCTGCTGGCAGGAAAATCCCAGGCTTTCTTCCCCCTCTGTGTTTAAATGATCCCATTGCCCCTGCAGTCTTGAACTGGCTGTCAAATTGGCAATAGAGAGAGGGTTTTGTCGCTCCTAAACGTGTTGGAAAACGCACGTGGGCTTTAGGAGCAGTCCTGTGGAAGAAATGAAAGAGAAGGGAGTGCTGCATCTTGCAACTGTTCAGTTGAGCAGGTTAAAAATCAGCCATCTTCTAGGCATCACATAAAAAGCGACGTTGTGACCAGCATAGCAAAATCAGGCCACCAAAGTCTTCCTGTCCTGTGTGTGTAGGGAGACGTTTGTTGGCGTTGGCTGTGCCCTAGCCAGCCCAGTGCTTTAGGATGTCTGCGGGCATCTTGTGCGGAGCCACTGCCTCTTATCCCTTCCTAGTTGATGGAAGGATGTGGAATTCCCACGTAACACGATCACTGATAGCAGAATGCAGCTCGTGCTAAAACCAGTGAAAAACATGAAACTAAAGGAGCTTCACAAGGAGCAGTAGGCTAATCTACCAGTCCCCGCTCGTCTAAATATCACATCTTTATCCTAAATGATATTGATGTTTAAAATGACTCTTGGAACTGTTTTGTCTGCCAGGCTTCGGGACGGGCCTGTCCTTTGTGGGGCACCCTGCCGCTGTCTTCCTGCGCTGCAGAATTGTGTGGGACTATTGTTTGTACGGTGGGCGCAGCTTAATAGGGAATCCGATAATAATAGGGCTGTCTGTTTAATCAGGAAAGCTTGCTGGGGATGGACTTATGTGAGCTACTTTAATTTGAGTTTGCGGTAGGCCTGTGAGACAGCTTGTAGGGTGGTTCTGCCTTCATTATAACAACTTAAGTGGACAGCAGATGAGCGCTCACAGTGTGCCATTGTGCTGCAGGGCATAAATGTGAACCTTTTGTCTTAGGAAGGTACAGACTTCACCCTTTCCATTCACCAAGTTCCAAAAACCAAGCATCCAAATTATTGCATAGGTTTGGGTTTTTAATTCCAAATCTCAGATGTTGCCATTAACTGAAAGTGCATCCTCAGCAGTGAGCCCTGCTATCTGACTGTATAAAGCCGGCTGGGAGTAACTTGGATTTAGAAGTTATCAGATATGAATGTCCAGTGAACACAGACTCAAGTTGCCTGTGAAGAACAACATAAATACCTCATTTGTGTTGTACTGGAGATGTTACTGGATTTCTTAAATCGTGTCTGCAGCTGACCTTTGATCTGGCGTTGAGCAAGAAATTTTCTAGTCCCTATTTTTGCCATTCATTTATTTGCTTGCCTCAGTCATTAGGACTCTGCGGTAAACAGTACGGAAGCAAGGCTGGCGTCTGAGCTAGCTTGGATAAAGTTGTCTGTCTGCTCCTGTGGGATGGGAGGGTGTGGCTGGAGGAGGTGAGAAATCTGGAGTGAATATTAAATTATCTGAGGCTCGGATGCTGGGTTTGAGCCTGAGGGAGGCATGTTTTTGTCCCCCAGCTAGAATGTAATCGTGAAAATTGGGGCCCCGAAGGAGAGTTGTATTTGGAAGCCGTGGTCAGAATGCTTGTTCTGATAACAAAAGTTTTGGTTTTTTTTTTTTTTCCCCGGTTGAGACAGACTAAGCATTGTCGACAAACGGACTTGGTTGTCTTCTCTTGTCTAAGAAATATTGTGCTTCTAAAGAGGAACTAGATAATACTCTTTTCCAGTGGGTGGTTCCCATTTCTAGGACTTTGCTGTCTCCTGAAAACAACCTTTATTTTTGTTGCTCATTGGCAAAAGTCTTGAGTCCCGTTTGAAGAAGTCTGTCGTGTGTAAGCATTGTCAGATGTGGAGTTTTGCTTTAATTCCTGCTCAGTGAAAATATAAACTGTAAGTGCTTTGCAGCAAGGCTGATCTGGGGACGCAGGTAACAGTTTAGCTTTGTGTTCCAGCTGTAGACTTCTCTGAAGGAAAAGGACAGGCATGTCAGCCCTGCCTGGTGTAACCAGGTGAGGGCTGTAACTGGAGGGGCATGACTGGGACGGGAGCCTCAGCGGTGTCCAGGCGGGGAAGGGTTCACACGCTTCAGGAGTAAAAGAGACAGGTTTCAGCTCTCAAAAGTCAGAGGAGTAGCAGCTGTCAATGCAGTAAATTCAGATGTAGAACAAACTTTGGAGCTGGCTCGCTAAGTAGTAGTGTCTCTGTCCAGGCTGCTTTTGCTAGACAAATACTGCTTTTATAAGGGCATTATAGCATATTTCCCATCTTCACTGCTGCAAAATCTTGTAGAGGGACTTCTGTTTATTGGGAGACGCTCACTTCATCAGGCTGTAGTTGCCCTTTGTTTAACAATTCCTACACTGCGCATGCAAAAGTCAACGGAGTAGCTGCGTGTTGCTGTTCAGCTCCTACTTAACTGCAGACTTCAGCCGTGTGCCTGCACACCAGCCCCTTGCAATGCTGCGGGTGAGAACGTTTGCAAAGCCTTTGCCTTCAGTGAGTTGTTCGTTTTAGAGAAGTGTGCGGTGTCAGCCTATGAAACTCTGGAGAATGTGATGCTGCCTTTCACGCGGAGAGCTGGGGAGACCTGCAGCGTATCACGTCTGTGACTTGGATTGCTTGTGGTACGGCCGCGCTGTGAACCCAGCCTGATGCTGGAGACGCTCGCAGTGCTGGATGCTGTCCTTGTGTGCAGGACTGACCTGCGAAGGTGAGACAGGAGAAAGAAGGTGAAATAGTTTTAAGTGTAAAGGTGAGGGAAGGTGAAACGGATGAGTATGATGGTGAGAAATGTGCAGATAACCCTAGTCTGAGGTAAGGATCTTGTTCTGTGGTCTGCCGGTGGAGCAGAGACGGGAATTTAAAGGGCGGCTGGCAAACAAGCCTGTTCACGCTAATAGAAATACCTCAAGGCATTTATGAAACTTTAGCCTTCCCGTTACCTTCCCTATGGCTATTTTAACAAGGTTTCTGTTTCTCCTTGTAGATATAATTGCTGAGGCCCTGTAAAATGGCTTTACGCTTCCGCAATGTCATCCCATATGCCATACCTGGAGTGCTGGCGCTTCTTGGCTGCTGGTGGATCTATTCCCATAGAAAAAAGCATGCAAGCTATCACAACAAACAAGCAATAGCCGTTGAAGAAGAGCAGCAGGAAGAAGTGCCGGAGGATGATTCATCACCCAAAACAGAAGCACGTGTTCCTCGAAGACTGCCTCTCTCCTCGGTAGAGAAACGCTCAGAGAATGAAACCTCGACCTCGCTGCTGTCAGCAGGGTCGACGACGCCCTCTCTTCTGTGTCAAACTCCTGAGAGGCCAGATCTCTCACAGGACCTTCCAGACCTGTCAGTAACGACAGTTCAGCCCAGCACCCTTGAGGACGACAGTGAAAAACTAGAAACAACAGGATCTCAAGACGAAAGCAGCGTCCCTGCTTGTGTTTCTCCCCCTCTGATCTCAAAGAGCGCAGAGTGTCGCAGCAGTGCTGCAGTGAGCCTTATACAGGATTCAGGCTCTGGTGCAAGCCAAGATCAGCGGCCATCGGCATCGGTGACACTGACGCAAAAGTCTTTGGGAATCACGGAGATTAGCAATGCAGAGCAGTCAGATGATTCTTCATTTAAGCCCCCTAAGGAAAGCCAGATGCCAGAAATTGTGCTATCGGATACTGGCTCTGTGACAGCCCTTTGCTTGGGATTGGAGAAGGAAGCCAATACCCCACGAGCCTTTCTCAATAACGAAGTTGAAGTTGTATCAAGTCACAAAGATTCTGCAGTGAGCGTGTTACCGGATAGTTTGGAGTGTGCCTGTTTGGAGCAGTCCAGGGAAGAAGAGATGTCCGAGTCAATAGCCAGTACTGTACCTGTGTGTCAGGAGGAGGACGCACAGCCAAAAGGAGATGAATTGGAAAGAGAGAAGATTGGAGGAGTGAGTTTGGACAAGGAAGAAGTTGAGAAAATTGAGCAAGTAGCAATACAGATCATTTCCAAGGTCATTTTGGCAGCAACTGAGGAAGTGCTGTCTGGTGCTGCAGGTGATGTGTCCGCTCAGATCTGCCAGGCTGCTGCCGGCCGAGGTGACAGACCTCTGGAGATGGCAAGCGTTGTTTCCCCTGCTTGGGTGCTTGCGGAGGAAGCTACGGTAGCCGATGAGAACACTGCTGTGAAGGGCGATGCTGCGGTACAGACGTCCCCGCAGACAGAGGAACAGGATCAAAGTGTGGCAGATTCCAGCCGTTTAACACACGGCCGTTTATCCGGCCCTGTTCAGGGAGACACAAAAGACTGTCGGATGAAGAACCGTGCGTGCAGTGAGTCCCAAGGAGTTGATCGGACTCCTGTGGAAAAGCATGGAGGGTCACTGGAAAAGTGGCCTTTGGTTATGGAGGACTCTGGGTGCAGCACATACATGTCCGAAGGTGGGACAAGTGTGGAGGACTCGTTGCAGAACACAATGCTGTCTGTCGCGTCAGGCCAGCATTCGGACTCACTGAGCATATCTGCAACCCAAGACACATCTGCTGAGCAGAGCTCAGTACCAAGTGAAAAACCTCCTACTTTGAAGCTACCTGGAGACAGCGAAGTGCCATACAGTAATGGGATACTGAAGGAGGATGGTCCAGACTTGCGTCATGAGTGTGGCAGGGCAGCAGGGATGGATGGAGATCCCTCAGGAGGTAAGGGATTTGAAAATCATCCTACAAAAATGTGGTGAACAGGCATTTTATGTGCTTCAGAACATGTTCAGGTAAATCCCCTTCATGTTTAACTTCCCCAGTAGATGAATATTTAGCCCTCACGTGCAGGTGGGTACGCATTTGCTCTCAGCATTCCCATCTCTGTAGGATCCCGTGTTAGCTGGGTGATCTTCAGGGTATGCTGCAAAGGGATGAAGAGGCTGGGCCCCTTTCAGCACAAAGCTTATTGTGCTTGTGCTTGAGTAGCCCAGTGATATGGACCATGTCTGGATGTAGGCCAGGCTGTTGAACATCTTGCTGGTTTGAGACCTGTTGATACAAATGGCTTCTGCTTCAGTTCAGGCAGCCTCTAGTAAGCACTAGGTTCTTATCTGTGTTTAGGGGCTGCTGCTGAAAGGAAGCTGTAAGGCAGGTTTCTGAAGTGCTGCTGGATGAACCAGGGGAGTTCTGATGAATTGTGATAAAATCAGTTGGTTGCAGACCAATTACCCTGAAGCCTTTTTGCTTGGAAGGGTAGGTGCACGCCAAGAAATCCCAACAGGGAGCAATGTTCAAGGAGTTCCTCCATCTGTCTCTGTGTTGCTTTTGCCTTCTAGATCCTGGATGGTGTGTGCCTGGCAGAATACAAAGCTGTCTGAGCAAATGTTAACCTGTGTGACCTTGGGGATGGATGTTAAAATCCTTTATAAGACCCTGTGGTGCCAACAGCCCTTAATGACAGGATGTCTTTTGTAATTGCTACAAAGCAGTGGGAACGCTGCTTGTTGCAAGACGTGGGGATTGAGTTTGCCAACAACTCAGGATTAAACCCACAAAACATTGTCACTAGTGAGAGTAACCATAGGAAGAAAATGGGTTTGCCTTCTTGTGAACGGTGGTGTGACAAGAAGGTACGAGAGTGTGTTGTGGAGCCTGGTGATGACAAGGGCTGAAAGCTCTGCGCTGAGAGAGCTGGAGGGTAGGGAGAGGGGATATGGCAGGTAAAGCTGATAATGTGGCTGTGTTGGCTAAGAGGTCCTACAGCTGACCTTCACACCCAGGCTGTGAGACTTAAATCCTCATCCTTGTCTAGGAAGTCTATGGCAAACAGCTGCACTGTTTGCTTTTGACTTTCTAGGCATCTGTGCTGTGTTACTAGTTAAGATGTGGCAAATGTGAAGCAGATGTTGGGTTTCTCTGGTCTTGGACTAGATGGTCTGAATGCTTGCGAACAAGTGAGGATCTTCATGCAGAAGCTTGTTAATCTGGAGGAAGGATCAACCTTGTGTTACACTGACTGTATCTGGGATCTGACCAGAAGGAAGCTGTTTGAGTTTGTCCCCTTCCCAAGGAGAAGTGTTCCTGGTATTGGCTGATGGCTTGGGAACAAAACATAGCTCTAGGATCTTGTTTCTTCAAGCATATGACAAACTTGGGCAAGAGGCAATCCCCTACCAGTGGGCACACCTGGCACTCAGGTCACTGTGCAGCCCCACTTGGGGTGGGAATGTAATGTCAGTGCAAAGAGCAGAAGAACAGGTTGCATGTCCCTTCCTGCATGCCGAACTCCCTGTGAAGAGCCCTGTTTAAGCCATGGGGAAAATGCGGAATACCTTGCGGCAGGAGCAGCTCAGTGTTGATGCTCGCATAGCTCTCATTCAGCTGGTATCTTCAACTCAGTGTCTTGTCTCTGCTGCTGTGTAAGGTGTCACCGTATTTGAAGGACACGTGCTGAACTCGGGCCTCCTTCTGTTGCATTCCCAGAGGTGTGCAGGTTTTTCTTCCGGAATAAAAGGAAACTTCCAGTAGGTTATGTGTGATGGGACTTTACCCTTTCTGAAATGCTGGAGAACCTGATACAGGAACATCCCAACTGCACGCACAGGAAGAGCTCAGTGTAACCTCTCTATGAAATGGTGTATTTTCATGGCCTTGTGTCTGGTAGCTGGATTGTGTGGTTTGTCTGAATGCTGACACGTGTGCATGTCTCGTAGGTTCGGATGTAAATAGCGTGGATTTCGTGGACAGTGGCTGTGCCATGAGGAAGACAGTGACTCGCCAGAACTCTAAGCTAGGAGGAGAATCCAGCAAATCCGACTTCATTATCTGGGAAATAGAGGTCCCAAAGGTAACCAGCCGCTGGCCTGCTCGCGCATCCTGCCCTGCCCTACATAGCCATCTTCTGGTCCTTCCAGTCTGGCACTGGCTGAATGCCATCCCAGGGAGATCAACAACAAATCAAGGAGGATTTAAGCATTTACCTCCCATTAGGACTCAAGAGGAGTGAAGAGCCAGTACACAAGTGTAAACGAGAGGCATGTCAGGGCTACGCCCAGGGTAATGCTGGTTGTTGGACTCATTATTCCCCATTATCTTCCACCCCAATCTGTTAGTCTGATGCTTTGAAAGCATTCAGAAGGCTTTGAGGGTACACAGTTATTAAGAGCAGGTGATGAATTTTTTTCCTTTCCACTGTGTAGGAGGATTATGTTTCAACTGCCTGTCCAAACCCTTCCTCACAAGCTGAATGCTCATCTGAGCTCTTTTGTGGAGCTGCTGTGTCTCTGTCTTTATAGTGAGCTTTCTTTTGGGTTGAGAGATTGTGTTTTTTAGGACTATGTTCATACCTTCTTCCCTGCTTTGTACATGCAAAATCACCTGTGGCTCTCCTGCACGGCATTGCTCTTGCAGTTGTGCTTCTTGGCAGACCTGAATGCTGAGGGCCAGTAGAGAGCAGCTCCCGGCAGGATAAGCACGCCGCCTTGAGTGCTTGGATGCTGTGGGCCCAGTGAAGACATGTAACACGCATTTTAATGGATCAGTAAAATGCAGGCTAAGGAAGCAGTTCTGCAGCAAAAAAATACGTTTCAGTGGTTAGTGAAGACAGGCTGTCACTTTTCTTAAAGCAGCTAACTTTACATTGTATAGGATTATCCATACTGAGTTGGGCCCAACACGTCTGGTCCCTGACAGCGAGTGGTGGCAGATGTCAATGGAAGAGTAGAAGCGACAGGGCTTGCACAGACATCTCTTCATCACCTCGCGCTGCTCCCCAAGGACTCTGTAGTCTAATGGGCGTCACAGCCTGGTTTACTCTCCTGTGAATTTGTCTACTCCCTTTCTAATCTAATTAGCTTGTTTAAAAATTGCTAAAACTTAGTATTTCGTATCTGAATGAAAAACGCATGTAGCATGCTTTTTTTTAAAAAAAAAAAAAAAGTGGTGGGGGATTGGGAGAGGATACGACTTTACTTGACTGTAGGAAGACAGTAGCCTTTACCAGGCCTGGTTTTGTCCCATCGTGACTTTGTGTCGTTCTTTGAGACATGAAGGTGGATCTATCAAATGAGCTGTATCTGCCTTGACTTATCAGAGACCAGCTGAACTCAGCGCTGCTCCAGCATTGCCTTGTATTTATCCTCCTTGGCCCTGTGCTACAAGAACTAGGAATGCGGGTGAAATAAGCCACAGAAAACAGGCTTGTTTGATCTAAGTTTCTCTTCCTGACTGTTGCTTTCTTGTCGCTTTCATAAAGGAATTAGTCGGCCGCTTGATTGGCAAACAAGGAAGATATATGAGCTTCTTGAGGCAAGCGTCTGGTGCCAAAATTTATGTCTCAACGCTACCTTATTTCCGTGACTCCCAAGTCTGTCACATTGAAGGTAAGTGGAATGTCTCTTTATTCATGGTCTAATATGTAGCTTGGGGGTCTTAATTAGATGGGCAAAAAATCTAAACAGATTTAGCGGCTTTGTGAGTCCAGTGCTTTACAAAACTTTTCTGCTCAGTGCTGTTACAGTAGAGGTGTATGCCAAGTCGCCTGTGCCTTGGCATGCAAACCCTCTATCCTAGAGGTGAGAATGCATTTTAACATCTCTGGCTGCTGTGGTTTAACCAACACCTTTTGCAGGATCACTTCAGGCTTGAAGGAGGAGCTACAGGATGTGTATCAGCAAACGCAGTCTTGACTGTGAAGGATGTTAGACTAATTGTGGCTGAAAAATATCTGCCAGTGAATTGGGTTCATACTGGAGGCTAAAGCTCTTGAAACTGGGGCCTGGCAGTCTGAGTTGCTCATGTTGGTCTGATACCAGGTTACAAGGACAATCTATTAAAACTTAAGTTGTTGATGTAGCACAGAAGGCTTCTGGTCGCTGTATTGCGTCACAGGGTGGGGATGTCCTCAGCGTATCTGTGCTACAGACTTTCTGTGGGATTTTTGTCTTCCAGGCTCCCCGCATCAAGTAGAAACAGTACTGAGCCTGATTGGCAAGAAGTTCAAAGAGCTGTGTCTCACCAACATCTACGCTCTACCTCCACCAACACCGTTGACGCTTCATTCCCTCCTTATGACTGCCTGGGTAAGTCCCAGCTTGCTGGCTGTGCTGATGACAGGGTGGAAGGCTGTTGTTGGTCACTGCTGTCATAGTAGGCTCTATCCATGTGGCTGGTTCACAGATGCCTTCAAAAGCCATCTGGTTTTGTGTGGCTATCTGTTGTCCAGCTTGTGTAACTGTTACAGATCAGGTTTATCGACCTGTTCTTCCACTACTGTTTCCATTCTGCTTGAGCTGAGAAATGTAGAATCATAGAATCATTTAGGTTGGAAAAGACCTTTAAGATCATCAGGTCCAACTGTTAACCCAGCACTGCCAAGCCCACCACTAAACCATGGCCCTAAGCACCACATCTACACGTCTTTTACATACCCCCAGGGATGGGGACTCAACCACTGCCCTGGGCAGTCTGTGCCAGTGCTTGGCAACCCTTTTGGTGAAGAAATTTTTCCTAATATCCAATCTAAACCTCCCCTGGCGCAACTCGAGGCTGTTTCCTCTCATTAAGGACCTGCCCTTCATAAACCCACTCTGACTGGACCTGATCCCCTGGTTGTCCTGTACGTGCTGTGTGATGGCACTCAAGATGATCTCCTCCATAACCTTCCCTGGCACCGAGGTCGGGCTGAGAGGCCTGTAGTTCCCTGGATCCTCCTTTTGGCCCTTCTTGTAGATGGGCATCACATTTGCCAGCCTCCAGTCAACTGGGACCTCCCCTGTTAGCCAGGACTGCTGACAGATGATGGAAAGTGGCTTGGTGAGCACCTCCGCCAGCTCCCTCAGTCCCCTTGGGCGGATCCCATCTGGCCCCATAGACTTGGGTGTGTCTAGGTGGTGCAGCAGGTCGCTGACCATTTCCCCTTGGATTATGGGGGCTTCATCCTGCTCCCCGTCCCTGCCTTCCAGCTCAGGGGGCTGGGTGCCCCCAGAACAACTGCTCTGACTCTTAAAGACTGAGGCAAAGAAGGCATTAAGTAAGCCCAACACAATGGTTGTCTAGCAGCCAGGGCAAATCACTTTGAAAATGAGACCTCTGTGCCAAATCTTGGACAATCCTTGCGAAGATTGCCTTGGTGTTTAAAACAAGGGAATCCTTGCAAGTTGCACTGTGTTGATAGTGCAGCATGACCTGACCTGCGTCGTTTCTGACTCTGCTCACTGATCTCTTGGGTAAATAAGTCTGACAGCTGCTCTGTGCTGATAGTCTGTTTGTGTACAAGGTGGGCCCCACCCCACGTCTGATTTCCTTTAGAACAGCGTGGAGTAACAGTGAATAGCTTTCTGCTCCTGATCCAAAGCAGCCTGTGGAAGTGGAATACCAGAGTGCCAGGGCTTTTCCACCCATGGCTCTAAGCCTCAGGAGTTGCTGGTGGAACATGAAGCTGCTGTGAATGAAGCTTGTGTTGCAATGAACACTGAGAATTTCTTTCCTCCACATGACAGCTGTTCCTCCCAGATGGAGTCACCGTAGAGGTGGTCGTGGCAAACCAAGTCGATGCAGGGCACATGTTTCTACAGCAGCATACACACCCCACCTTCCATGTCCTGCGTAGCCTGGACCAGCAGATGTACGCCTGCTATTCTCAACCTGAAATTCCAACCCTGCCAACTCCGGTAGAAGGCAAGTAACTTGGTTGCTCACAAATTGTTCAGTTGAGAAACTTCTTCTAGGGTCATGCAAAAGCCTGAGGCCCCTGAGTTAGGCTTGGGAAGTTTCCCAGTGGATGAGAATGTGAGAGTTCACTTGTCACTTCATCTTTTTTTTTTAAGCTGCTGCCAGAGTACAGATGTTGCTCTACTCCTCTTTACACCAGTCATCCCTGGAGTACCTCCCCAGCCACTTAGTTGCATGTTGAAATTCAGGATGAGATAAAGTCTGTTTCAGATTATTTCCGATCAACTTGACATCTGGTGTATTTTTGCTGACAAAGTGTGGAACTACTCCCAGATCTTGATAGCGTCGCTGTCTGCACGTGGTGTAAAGTGGAGGGTGCACCACATGTGGAAGGGTTAGCGCTTACTTTCCTTGTTGGAGACAGACCTCACTGTTAGTGACCAAAGGCTGCGAGAGAACTGGATACCTGGGTAGAACAGCGTGGTAGTGGCAGACAGACTTGGGAGTAAAACCCACTGCTCCTGCATCCCAGCTGCAGGCCCTGTCTGATGGGGTATGGGTGGTGTTGAAAGAAGATGGAAGCAGCATGAGAAATGCTGTTGATTCTCAGAAGATAACACTGCAGCCCTGCTAATGCCTGAAGTGCTGATTTCTGGAAATCCACTTATACTGAGCCTTTTTTCTCTGTACTCTTATGTTTTGCAGTTGGTATTATATGCGCGGCTCCAGGCCTGGATGGGGCATGGTTACGGGCTCAAGTTATTAGCTACTTCGAAGAGACTGGTGAAGTGGAGCTCAGATACGTGGACTATGGAGGATATGACAAAGTGAAGATTGACACACTCAGACAAATCAGGTCTCTAGTTCCTCTTCCATATCTGGCTTGAGTCTTCATCAGGGGCATCCATATCATTTGAATTGCTTATAGGTTTTTCCACAGCTGAAGTGGGAAATGGTAGAAAGGTTTGTCTCAGCAGCGGGTGTGGATTCCTTGGGAGCACAGCAAGCTCTTGCAAGGCTTTTTTGAAGGGGAGAGGAGAGGAAATTGCCACTTCTGCCACTTTAGTGTGGAGGCTGAGCAAAAGGATGCCTTCAGGAGGCCCCAAAGTGTAGTTAATTGACGAGCTAGGAATAAGATTCAGATTCTCTATGTCCCAGCCCCATTGGGTGGGAGAGCCGTGTGGGATGAGGGCTGTCTCACACAAGCCCATTAAATACTTGATTGTGCCCCAGAGGTGGGAGAGAAGCAGTACAGCCTCCCTTGTGGAGGTGCTTTTTGCTGGGAGCCCAATCCAACTTGGCATGCTAATCAGACAATTTATTGCTGCTGCTTAGATTGCTAAGAGAATAGTCTGATTTTTTTTTGACTGTCATCAATTTTAAACTGAATTCCTATTAGAGCAATTGATTAATCAATGTCACCTTAAAGAATACAAGAGTAACTTAAAGCCGTTTTCTTATTCTGACTGATTCCCTTTTCTTTAAGGTCTGACTTTTTATCACTACCTTTCCAAGGAGCAGAAGTTTTACTAGACAACGTGGTGCCACTTCCAGGTAATGGAGCTCTCAAGATGTACCGCTGCTGCTCCTCCTGCGGGTTTAAATGGATGCCAGCTGTGTACAAGCGATGATTCTGTCTAAAGTTTCTCCCCGCTATTGCAAGCTCAGCCTCTGATGTGACTAGGGCAAGGATTGGAAAAATTGTATTTTATTCTTCTAAATGTGCCAGCATAGCATAACCTGTCAGACTCCAGGGGAAAGATGATAAATGTCCAGGCTTTTTCCTGCATGGAGGAGAGAATGAATTACTTTGCTAAACAGCAATTTGGCAGGACTGGCAGGGTATAGGTGAAGTAGCTGTAACTCCCCTGCCGCCTTCTGTCATAGGGTAGCTGTAAATGCAAATTCAGTTTTTAATCTTCTAGACAAATACCTGACACTTTCCTACTAAAATGACTGATGTGTAGTTTTGTGTTCAAGACCACCCTCCAAGCACTGGAAAAATGTCAGTCACTGCCTAGAAATGCTTTGTTTTGCTTTTTTTCTTTTTTTCCCCCCCTTTTCTAGTGGTGTTAGAGATACATGCTGTACTGGTGTCTAAAAAGCTGCCCTTCTGGGTGCGGAAGGGGTGGCTGTAGGGGCCGGGGGTCAGGCCAGGTTTCACCCCTGGGGTTTGTGGCTGGTAGGACGCCAGGAGGTAGAGGCCCTGCCGAGGCTGTGGATGGATGGCAAGGTTTAAGCTGCTTCTAGCAGAAGTCAGTGACTTGCATGTTCCCTGAGGCAATCGACCTCCTTCGGTATTCGTGGGGTTGCAAGGAGTTTGCTTGCTGCTGGAGATCAGGGTGGGGAGCACGAAAAACTATTTTGCAGCAGTTTGGTAGGAAATAAGCAACTTTCCTCCAAAATGAAAACACTAATGTCTGGCCTACAGTGTAGGTTGTAACTGTATTGCCTGGGACGCAGGGATTTCTGCTGCGTTACAGGTGCGCAGTTAGCAACAGCACCCACGTAAGCTGTGCGGGCTGAGAGACTTGAGCGGCCAGTGCTTGCAAAGAGCGTGTTCGGCACTGTTCAGGTGCCAGCCAGCCGGTGGTCCAAAGGCCATCAGCTACTTATGTTCACGTTAACTTAGCTAGTGGCTTTAGAAAGCACTTCATCCTTCCCTTCAGCAACACAGCAGGCATAATACTTGTATGATCTCCAGCTTAATAGACTGGTTTCAGCAAATGCCTACAGCAACAGTAGGTGAGGATTCTCTGGCCTACGTTGTGTAGGAGGTCAGACAAGATTAGCTTAATAGTCCCTTCTGGCCTTTAAAGCCTGTGAATATCTCATTTGTTTTCTCTTGTTCTTTTCTTTCCGAAGACGAGGATCACTTTTCATCTGAAGCTGACGCTGCCGTTAGCGAGATGACCAGAGGCGCGGTCCTAGTGGCACAGGTACAGGAGAGCTGTCTGGAAAAGTCTCGTTGCCGATTTGGCTGCTGCTGTTATCCTCTCTGTCCCCTAGCACGCTGTGTGTGTTAAAATCAAAACCAAAGCCAGAGCCTGTAAGCCTGGCTGCTGGGCAGGGTTCTTGTTGAGAAATCTTGGCGCTGAGAACTTCCTTGTGTAGCATCAGCACCGCTCAGGGCTGTGTGGCTGGGAAGGGATGCACATTCCCTCGTTACCCATGCGGGCAGGGAGGAAGGGCACCGGAATGGGTTTACAGCGCACGAAGTGGCCCGTTGTCCAGCAGATGAAGCATTCATCTGGGCCTGCGCTGCTTTGCCAGTCTCGGCTGTCTTTGCAACGCTGACATCTGGGATCTGGCCTCTGGCTGGCCAGCAGGAGGAGTAAGGCTTCTGGCAGCATCCCAAAAGCTTCTGCGTGCAGTGCCTGATCTCGACGAAGAGGCGCTTACCTCTTCTGAAGTGCCTCTAACAGTGGCTGTAGCTATCCGCGTAAGTTAATTGGGGCGAGTGGGAAGCTGATAGCATTTGTGACGCTCAGTCTCGTAGCTTCCTTTGGTTTAATGCAGTGCTCAAATGCATCACTAATTCTGGCAAGGATTTGAGTGCCTGGAGCGAACTTGCCAGCGGGGCGTCCCAGCTGCCTGGTGGCAGTCGCTGCGTTTCCTCCCGCCTGCACAGGAGTTTGAGTACCTGCGCTGCAGTGAATGCTGCTGGCCTTGCATCCTCCGTGGCTCAGACCAGAATTGCTGCGCACTGATGTTTTTCTATGTTTCCAGGTGACAAATTATGACAGTGCCACAGGTCTGCCGCTGATACAGCTGTGGAACTTGATGGGAGAGGAGGTGCGTATGTTGACATAACTATTTGTTCAACACTGTTAGAGTTTACAAAGACTTTTTATTGTTGATTAGGAACTTGTTGATGTATCTTGCTACTGGTTTGTTCACCTTTCTACTGTTTTTTTTATCTGCCTTTAGGTGGTGTCGATAAACAGAACTCTGGTGGAAAGAGGATTTGCTCAGTGGCTTGACTACTAGCAACGTCCTAGATGCCTCGACAACTCTTTCTGCAGAGAAAAACAAAAGAAGAAATCTTGTTTTGCACTTGTTACAATTTGGTTTGGCAACCACTCATAAGAAGATATGTTTACACCTGTGTGCGGAGTTTTGTGGTCCATTGAAACTGGTTTTGCTCAACTGTTACCATTTCACTAGAAACACATACCTCATCTAAGTGAAAGGCGGGGTGTTAAAAGCCATAATGACAGGTACTGTAGCTTTAAAGCGAAAAATCCTCCCTGGCCTCTACTCAAAAGTTGAATGGAAAAAACCTTAAAACCTTTGGGCTTGCTTGAAGCTAGCAAATGCCCCTGACACGTTAACTGTGGTTGCATTTTTGTTCAAGATGCATAATGCCCCATGAACTTGGTGTCTGTTTTTCCTAAAAGTTGCATCGGTTGTCCTTTTTTAACAGGCTCTGCCTATGAAATTGATGAATGTTATTAAGGAATTTAATGTTCGGTTATGGATTTTTCTATATCGTGCCACTAACCTGCACAAACAACATTCATCTTGTGTCTTCCTTAAGCGAGAAGGTAGACGGATTGCATTCGTTGCACTTACCGTGGCACATGTCTCACTGCAGTCGTGGTTTTTAGGCTTGATACGCTTAAGGAAGAAAGCTGCTCTGTGCGGATGCTTGAAGTGCAGGATATGTTACCACTACAATTTTTGCTCTGAAATGTCATGTATTTAAAGAAAAGAACTGATTGCCAAGCCCAATTGTAGTTTATATTTTTCTAGCTGTGCAAGTCTGTAAATATATATAAAAAGAATTGTAATATTTTGTACAAGAAAAACACTGGAAACAAAGGGAACTTTACAGAAACTTTTTCACACCAAAATGTCCTATGTAGGTAGAACTGGTTTGGAGTGCGTTAGGGTAGCCGACATATTTGGAGCATCTGAATGCTGGGAGTGTTTCAGCTCTGCTGTATACAGGATTAGTATTGCCTTAGATTGCTGTCTGGTTTGAATTGTGATCACTGCATTCTTTGCTATGTTGCTGTACAGATCTGTTTAAAAAAAAAAAAGTAACAACTTGGCATTAATATTGCAGTGGTGTTCTCAATTTTTTTTTGCTCCTTTTTAGATTTCTATTACATGTTTAAAATTTTGCTCAAAAGTAATTGAAGCTGACTTAATACTCTTAAAACACATGCCCTCTAATGTATATCATTTTAGATATGTATTGAGCTGGGATTTATCGCTGGCAGAGAAGCTACTTGCCAGGAAAATGTTGATGTAGTCAGTCCTGGGAAGTTTTTTCAGGTGGATTCAAGGATGTCCTTACATCCCGTGAGCTAACACGTCAGTGCATCACACATTTGGATAGTTGCCTACAAAAGCATTTGGTCCAATCTCTTCTGATATGGTATGGTTATATCCTTTTTTTTTTTCTGAGTTCTCTCCGATTTGGCACTTATGATTTAATGTTCATGTTTGCAATAACATCCAATGAAAACTAAATTTGGTAACTCAGTTAAATCTATAAAACATATATCCTCTTGGAATGTTTCTTTCCATTTCAATTAAAGCTCAAATTTTAAGCCGTCCTAATCAAACTGTGATGACTAAGAGCCTTCATTTCCTGACCTCTTGCGATGTAGGGTTGGGAAGGGGGCTCCATGGGATAAGCAGGTGAGAACAGATCCTGATGGCTGTTCAACAGGTGCAGAAAGGTGAAGCTTCAAATCTCCTGGGGTTCCTTTTCCTTCCAGCTGAAAACTGGGTTTATTTTTATGATTAATTACTTACTAGAAAGCCTTAGTCTGAGCACTGGTACTCAAGGCTGTTAAAACTGTTAGGTATTTGTGGAATTAATTTACTCAGGACGTCCCTTTTGTCACACTTGTGTGTCGAAAAGTGAAACTTGGGAGTCTGTTTCTATTGTGCAGGCTATAAAATCCCCTCTTGAAAATGTCGACGGGTTTCTTGTTCAAGCCAAGCAGCGCGAGGGTGTGAATTGGTGTCCCAGTGACCAGTTTCTCCTTACCCCCCGGCACTGCAGCACCTTGCAACTGGGAAAGTCTGTTCTTGCAGTAGGATGCGTTCACACTCGGCATGGAAAAGAAGCGCAGGCATGGGCTGGACTGACTAAGCTAGGGCTGCAGGGAGCAAAGCGTGTTAAACTGCAGGTACTGCCTTTGTGGTCTGTAGATGTGTACATGCGCACACAGTTGTCCGGGGTTCCAGATATCGGTCTTCCTGATCTCGGGGATTAAAACCCATCCGTTGGGTTCATTGCGGAATATACACGCAACCTGTAGATGCTCTGGGCTGCAACTCAGTGCTGCTTAGGCAAGTGATAGGTGAAGAATAAAACATTGGGATTTTTGGTGGAGGAGTAGTGGGGTTGGAAGTTAGCAAAGTTCAACAATGTCCTTGCTTCTCACCCTGGGATGAGGGCTTCACTTCACAGGGTTTCTCAATCCTTGCTAGCCTTGAGTATGTGCTGAGGGATGGCTTTCACCATCAGGCAGGTAGAAAATGTGGTAGCTGGCTTCTTGCACTGTGGATGGTTAACACGTGGATGGTTAACACGTTAGCGATACCCTGAGCACGGTGCGTGGCGTGCTGAGCTGTGCGTGCCCAGCAGCTCTGCCGCTGTTGCAGGCAGTCTCTGTGAACTTGCTGTTTCAAATCGCCTGCCGGTTGTCTCTCTCCCTGGACAGTTTCTGGCTAAGGGGAGGCAAAAGCTGCCATCTAGCTGTGAAGGAGGTTGTCTGTCCTTCAGCTCGGTAACTTGGGTGCTTCAGCAGCTCAGCAATGCCTTCCTGGGTACCTTCCCTGCTAGGTAAGGCCTCCCCTCACAAACCAGTTCTGTTGGGCAGGAGCCAGCCTCTTGTGGAGGGTTTGTGTTGCAGCCATAAGGCGGTGACCTTAGAGCTCCGTCCCGCCGGTGTCTGGCGTGGCGGGCGGGCTGGCGATGAAAGGTCAAGAGAGACTGAAGAACCCTGCGCTCCGGTGTCTGCCTGACGCAGGCGCGTGCAGTGCCCAGGGGAGCTTGCCTGCATTTCTTCTGAATTTGTCTCCAGGGCTTTTTCTTTGCACAGGGAAGCTTTATCCCCCGGGGCTAGATTCACGCTGGGACAGAGAACTACAAACTGTTGGTGGTTGTGCGGGGAGGAGAGAATTGTTGCTGCTTTAGCTGCAGCCTTGCCAGAACATGGGAGTGTAAAACAATAAAAGTGTGGAAGCGCCCGGGCTGGGGCTTTGCTTGCTGTGGTGAGCCGCTTCCAGAGAAGGCGCAGCTCCGCGGAGGTGGATAACGCAGCCCTCCCTCTTGGGAAGGTGGGAGTCCCTCACGGGCATGGTGCTGTGCAGGATCTGCCTGAACCGGGCTCCACCTCGCACCAGTGCTCGTCTGACTCATTGCATGCAGACTTTTTTTGCTCTGAAGCTGGTCCCAATGCTGGAGTCTTGCTGAACAGGTGAAACGGAGCTGTTCTCTCTGTGGGATGTAGGAGCAGGGTGGCTGCGATGCAGGAGGCTCGCTTACCAAGTGTCGAAGCAGAAGAGGAAGAATATAATGCAGGCTGACAGTCCTGAGGTGGTAGCACCATCCCAAGGGAACGCAGACGCTGCAATTTTAGGGTTTGGGAGCAAATGGGCCTCCCTCCACTCTATTCCCATTTCCCAGAGAGCTTTCCAAGATCCAGTCCATAGTCATCAAACGAGTGCATGTTAGTTTGGAAGTGGTGGGTTTTTTTTTCCTTAGGAGCTTTGAGTAGCCCTGGCCGCCTTAGTCTGTGTCCGTGGGGATGAATGTGTTCTTGTTCATGACAAAGTTTAACTCGCCTTACTGCTGGTGTTTTCCCTCGCTTTGTGGGGTGTCCAAGTCAGGAATCTGCAGCCACTGCTGGCAGCCGGTGTGGGGAGCTCCCCCGGTGTCTGCTACGGAAAAACGCTGTTCCCTATTTGTGTTGTAAGCTGCCTGGTTTTTTAAGCCGTAGTAAATAGAACATTGTAGGGGGAGATTAATCAAAATAAGGAGGTGCTGGCAAGTAACAAATAGGCATCCCTTCTTTTTTTAAGATAAAAAGTCTAGGCCTGTAGAAATACATTAATAGCTTCAGTAGTACCCCAGGGGCGTGGGGTTTTTTGGTTTTGTTTTTTGTGTTTGGGTTTTTTTGGGGTTTGTGGTTTTGGTTGTTTGGTTTTTTTGGTTGGTTTTTTTTTTTTTTTTTTTACATTATGGACAAGGGTGAATGGCTTCCCTGAGATGGGGGAGGTAAATATGGACTGCTTGGAAAAGAGCAGGGGAAAAGGCACAGGTCAAAAAAGGAGCAGGGGAGGATGAAACAGGTTAGTTGTATTTGCATCTTCCTTTCTGAGACGCGGTGGGGGTGCTTTGTGCCCCATCAGGCCTCGGGAGCGTAGCTGGGGTGGGTTTTGGAGGCCTCACGCTGCTCGTAATACCCTCTGCGTCCCCAACGCGACTGTGTAAGTCTTGGCTGAAAACCTGCGGTTGAGCATACGTGCATCTGAGCGAAGCTGTCCCACGGGGTTAGTTTGACTGGAACCGTGCAAAGGGGTTTTCCCCTTTGAAAAGTGGTAATTTTATTACGGGTAACATGAATGAGGTCTCCGGAGATGCCTAATTTATAACTTCTGCCTGGAGAGCTTCCCGCTGGCCGCCAGGCACGCTCCGGCGATCCCCTGGAAGCCCAGAGCTCCCCTCTTCGGGCCCTTTCCTAGGACGAGGGGTGCTTCCTATGAGGCCTCCTCACCTCGCAGCCTCTGCCCCCATCCTCCTGCCCTGGGGCAAGCGGCACCTTCCCGCCAGACCCTCGAGCACCGGGGCTGGTCCGTAGGCAAAGCCCTGAGATGATTTTCCTTTGGCACATCGACTCAAAGGCTCCTCAGTGAGGGAGGAGGGGAGGAGCGAAGGGAGTGGGTTTGGAGCAGATGGAGAATAATGGTGCCCCTGTCTGCCACCGGCACATGAACCGCCGACACAAGGCGCAGTTCAGCTCCTTGCCTCACAGCCACGTATGCAGCCTGCT